AGATAAAATAATTGTATACTAGTAATTAAATTATACTCATTGGAAGAATCTTTTTATCTGTTGTTGTCCCACTTGCCGTTTTTGGCTGTATTTTACTGTATTCACAAGTCTCCCTTATGGGGATCTATGAATGTATGAATGGAGATTGCTTGCTCACTTTTGCTTTTACTTTTACTTACATATTTTATAACCTTTAACAATGTACTCACTGACATTGTTTTTGACAGAAGGCTCATATTGTGATGCACAAGTATAATTAACTTGTATCTACATAATTTATAATCTTATTACTTATTAGCGATGTACTCATTGACATTGTTTCTGTTAACAGACTCACATTGTGATGCATAAGTACATTTAACTTATATTTATGTCATTTTATTAATTTTTCAAGTAGACTGTTATTGTATAGGTTGTATTGTATTTGACTTGTTCCAAATACTGTGGTGTCTACCTGTGTCTGGATTTACGGAATGTAAATAAATTGAACAATTGAACAATTCAGAGAACTGGGTGGCGGTGATAATGTACACTGATAAACTCAAATACAGTTTCACACCCAGTACATTGCATAGAACATAGTACAGGGGCACACAGTCTGTGTGACATATTTTCTAGTGGCTGTATGAATATGTTCAAGATTATTCTAGTGTGCCATTTCTCAGAATATAACAAAGTACACAGTGAGCAGTCCAATTTCCTACATAATCAGTACAGGTGTTATAGTCTTGAGAGTGGTCATGGCCTGCTTGAAGAAACTGTTCTGGCATTTTCATGGAGGGACTGAGAAAAATTGCAAAAGTTATCAGTCTGGGTAACTGGTCTCCAGACTCAAATTTGAATCGGGAACCTTCTGAATGCAAAGCAGGAGTGTTACCCACTTGACCTCAACATTAAGTTCATGTTAAAATTGTAACCTGCCCTGGCAAATGGTTTGCATTCCAGAATGTTTGTGTTTATAGGAATATAATGCCTGAACACAACTTTCTCCTTGAAGAAAGTATAGAATATCAGTTTTCTAAGCTTCTAAGATGTCATAGTTGGAGAANTAAAAATTCTACCTCTTCAATCGCAATACATATTATCGCTTCTCTTATTTGTTGTTTACAACAAAGATAAATTCAAATTAAATTCTGATGTCTATAACATGAATACTAGACAAAAATATAACTTCCACCTACCCTCATCAACTTTATCAGTATATCAAAAAGGAGATCATGCTTCACTGTTTAGGGAATAGAGGGGGTTGTTTGTTTTCAAAATTTCTTTTATGAAAATTGCAAGTGGCTTGCTCATATTTTATTTATTCTTTATGTATGGTTTATTTAATATTGTTACTGAGCAGATTCATATATTGCTCAGGTCTTGTATTCTCAAAGTATTTGGTTCGATTCTTAGCCAGGACACCAGCTGTTATGGCTCAACTTCATCATTTTTCTCCTCAGTCCCAACAAGCAAATTTTGGGACAGCACTGCAAGCCACAGACTCTTGCTTCAAATTCCATCCAAGTTTTTATTTGTCAGTCCTACCATTTGGCACTATACAGCCTTAAGATACTGACCCCATCATAAAATAAACAACAAACGAAACACTGTTAGACTGTATAAAACCAATGTTTATTGCATAATGAATTGGAAAAGCTCTGGAAGGAAACAGTAATGTCCTAACTTTGGGTACTCCCCAGCATGGAAGGGCTTAGGAAAACCATGAAAAACCACAGTCATGCTTGCTTGTCCCAAACTCTTGTATTATATTCTTCCATCATTTAATTTTGAATTCAGAGATAGCATATAAATAGAACAGGTCTATCCAAGCATCATCTTATTCATAAGATAAGGTGATGTTCAGATAGGCTCGTTATATTCGTATGCTGTCTGTGTTCAAAAGAAAATGTAGGCAGGCTCCAACACTAGCTGCTTCATATAGGGGTACAGAGTGCCAATAATAACTGACTGTATTTATGAACTGTATCTATGCAATATGTGACAGTTTTTCTGTAATCGGTGTTGGCCATAGCAATGGAGGACAGACATAATATTTAAGCTGAACTGAATCTATGAATGACAAATTCAACAGTGTGTGTCACTATCTTCCCAAATTGGATGATGCTATTTTACAAAATAGAACCTGTCGGTTCAGAACACATAACTACCAGTTCTAAAAATGAAGCAGTCAAGTTCATAAACTGTCTGGCAAGGAGTAGAATAGCAAAATCATGGCCATAAGGAACTGTCTTCATTGTTTCAGTATTTAAAAGCGATTGCATGGTTATCTGAATAACAAGATTGTGCCTTGAGGCACCATGGCTTGTCTTGTGTAGATTGCACAGAAGTTATTGAAGTGGGCTTCTCAGTATTGGCATGTGCGAGCATCACCAGTTTGGTCATTTGACAGATGAAAGATTTAATGTACTGTCCATAAAGTATCTATGCACTGTGTGCATGAGTGTTATCTCTTTTTGGTATTCACTGAACAAGAAGTTGGTTGAACCCTGGAGTCGGGATGGACATGGTGATGAATAGGAAAATACTGGTACATACCCCAATCAGGAAGTGAACTCTAGCTATCTAGCTTGTACTGAATCACACTGTTGACTTTCTATTCCAGTACCTTATGAAAACGATGACTCCACATAAACAGAAAAAAATGCTTGACACTGAAGTAGATGTCAGTATTTCATGTTGTAAAACTTCTTTCTAAAGACAGAGAAAAGAGTGAAACATGCATTTTTATTGAAAAGGAGATAGAATTTTGCAAAACTGAAGTATTACTTGACAGCCGTTTAATGTATGTTTACAGGGTAGTGAAAGTGTGGTGTACGACATGTCTCAAAGTAGCAGGCCCTGAGTGCTCTCTTCACGACATCTGTAACTTTGAGGCAGGTAAGAAACGTCTGCATGAACGTCTCCAGTCTCTCATGAAACACATGGGCAAGAAATTAGATAGAGAAGTACAAGTCAGAGAATCACACCTTGCCCACCTACAGGCAGTATATGAAGCATGGAAATCCAGCCTGGCAGAGCATCTTGAGGAACAGATCAACATTCAGAACATGGCTCTCACTGTTGCATGCTCCGAACTTGAGTCACTGAATTCCCTCAGAAAGTTACAAAATGAAGAAGATCTCTCCATCATAGTGTCAGCCATCAAAAATATTACAGCCATGGTAACTGAGACAGAGAGTCGCCTGAAAGTTGCCAGTGAGCAGTCAGACCTTCTGTCAGCACTGCAGATGTGCCATGTAAATATACTGCCTGTGTTGGACGGCCACGATAAAAATAAAGAAACGTTACAAAAATCAGTAATTGATATTGGAAGGAGTGACAGCAGTGAGGAGAAAGCACTGGCATATCTCATGTACCACATTCTGAAGAACAAGAGTATGGAAGAGGACACAGTTGGCGGATCCTGGCAGTTGGTTGAGAAAGTGAAAAGGGTGAAGAATAAAATTGGAAAGAATGATCAGGTTGGAAGTAAAAGTCAATTTTATAAACCAAGGAGCACTTCTGTCCAGAGGGAAACCCATACTCTTGTCTGTACACCAGCAACATCCACAGAGTCCATTCCTGCAGCCAACCATTCCAGAATTGTTTTAAACAAAGGATTAAATAATTTGTATGAAGGGGTATGGTGTTTCTTTGATATAGCTATTGATGGAAATATGAGTGGAAGGATTGTGTTTCGCCTTCGGCCTGATGTGGCACCAAAAATGTGTGCCAACTTTGTTGCTTTGTGCACAGGTGAACTGAGTTATGGTTACAAGGGCAGTAAGATATTCAAAGCTGTAGCTGGTAGTCACATAATAGGTGGGGATTTTGAAAGAAATGATGGTTGTGGAGGTCATTCAATTTTTAATAAGAAAGGTTTGTTTCTAGGAGACAACTCTTGGCTGAGGGATGAAGAAGGAGCACTGAGAATGAAGGGCATGGGTACTGATGAGAAGACAGGAAGTGGAATGGTAGGGTCACAATTCCATATCTGGGTTAAAGAGAAGGAGTTCAAATCTTATTTTCGAACCCTAGTTATTGGAAAAGTGACCGAAGGTCTAGAGCTTTGCAAATTAATATCCAATTTAAAAACTTACAAGAATGAACATGGAGTTTATATTATTACTAAAGATGTTGTTATCCAAAACTGTGGCAAACTTGATATGCTATGAGAATGTTTTAGCTCATCTATACTGTGAAATGCTGAATATAAACTCTGATCAGAGAACAGAGCAGACAGATCTGTGTTAACGTAAATAATAAGATTTTGGAAAACTGTAAGGTGACTAATAACTAGTAGCAATTCAAGGAGGAATCAGTTAGGATAGATTATTTGAGTCCTTTGTCCTTTTTCCATTGTGCACTGGTTGAAATAGATTCTAAAGTGTGAGTAAATCTGCTGCTGCTGCTACTACTACTACTGCTACTAGGTGTGAGGATAGTGTTAAAATGGGTCTCGGAGAAATAGATTACGTTGGTAAATAATGGATACATCTGGCTCAGGATAGAGACTGGTTCAGGCCTCTTGTGAACACAGTTCTGAACCTTGGGTTTCATAAAAATGTTTGAAATTTCTTGAGTAGCTGAAAAACCAGCAGCTTCTCAAGAAGGACTTAGCTTCATAGAGTTTATAGAGTTAATTAGCCAACTAGTTAATTATTACAATTATTTCTGCTGCTGTTATTTTAACACTTCCATTAACATTAACACATTGCATCCAGATATTTATTCCTGTGAGTTAGAGGAAGATACATGATTATTATGAAAACAGTTCTCAACTTCATATAATACAGCCCCCTTCTAAATGAATCCCAAGAGACTGAACTTTTTATTTCAAAAAGCTTAAATTTAAACTAAAAAACTTACAGATATAATATAGTTTTGAAAAGAAAATAATCTTAATTACAAAACAAATTTATGTTACATATATATACTGCATTATCACTGCATACTATAATATCTGCAGTCATGATGTGTATTTGTACCAACCATCTTACATTGCACACAATTTCACCTTTCTCTTCACTACATGTTTCGGCACTAATGTGACATCTTCAGGTGTGGTTTTGTTTATGTCAAACCATTGCACTGTATGCCACTGATTTCTTAAGTATGTTATATAGAAGTAATTGATTTTCCAATTAAAAGCTATAAATATTAGTGTTTTAAACTGACATTTAACTTTTTGCAATTCTAATGCCCTTGGTGCGCTTGTAGAATATATGGGATATCTGAACTAAGTTTTCTAACAGCTTTTAAATGGCGTATCAAAAGATTAAGTGGACTTCAAGAATATGTTAATTTATACCCCAGATGTGCATAATGTTTGTGAGTGAAAGATTTCTGTTTCATTATGCATGTTCATGATGTGTTTCTTAAAGTACTTAAAGTATGAGAACTGTTGGTACTGAGCAGAGCAGAGCATTAGCCTTATATTTAGGAACTGTATATCAGATGATGCTGGCTATCTCAGTGGGTTTTATGATGTTTCCTGCCATATTTACAACTGCAGAAAAGCTCAGAGGAGCCAATCCCTGGCCATAATTCAAACCACTAAGCTTCCAGTCCTAAAACTCTGATATGGGCTTTTCACCCTGAATTTGGAACCTTGCGTTTGGCATAAAATTTCCTTGCCCCAGTTCTCACTTTGCATGTTGTCCTTGGACAACAGATTCCTTTTGGCATAAAATTTCCTTGCCCCAGTTCTCACTCTGCATGTTGTCCTTGGACAACATATTCCTTGGTTCAGCATAGAATTTTACACTTTGCCTTGGGCACAGAAGTTGTGTTTCTCACCTCTGAGTGAATTGCTTCACCATTAGGATGTTTTCTTGTGGTAACAGAACTTAAGACGGGTGTCTTAGTTCTCGTAAGAATGTACATGAGGATCACATAATAAAAATTATATATAATTTTTATGAGTGGAGACCATTAAGGTGTGCTGACTCAACTATAAATCACATGGAATATGAACTGTTACATTATAGTTTCATACGATATTTTTACTGACACATGAATAAATGTTTATGAGTTTTTATCAAGGATTTTTTATATTATTAAAGTAGTTTGTAGATAACTGATATCTAGTATTGCTAGGAGTGGTGAATTCAAGGTGTTAAAAATGACCTGGACATACAAATAAAATGGTAGAAACAAGAAATACACATAGAAATCTCTTGGAATGTGGACAAGTAGTAGGTGAAGATGGATATGAGGGTATGAAGTTGAAATTTGCTGTAGTGAAATGAATCATGAAGTAAACTGAACCAGTTCAGCATCATATCAAGTATCATGTTATATATTTATTTAGCGGCCTCCGCAGTCTAGAGGTAACGTTCCCACCTCATGACTCGTGGTACGCGGGTTCAAATACCCGGCGGAGGTCGTCGAATTTTTAAGGGCGGAAAAATTCAGGGAACAAGTCCCCTGGGAGGGACTTTAAGCCGTGTGTCCCGTGTCGTAATTTTACGGCACGTAAAAGGACCTCATATCCCCAAAGGGGATCACTAAGCCAAATCCCAGGACGTTTCCCGCCCAACAATAGTCTCTAAGGCCTCTCATAGTTGGGGGAAGCATTAGAGACACCGCTAAGCAAGTGGCCGAACTCGCTTGCTCGGCGGGACTAATGGTACACACCATTTATCGGTAGGGTATAGAGACTGGTAGAATATCATAGAGGGAAGCACAATAGATCAAACAGGTCGCGGTGCATGGGGAAACCTACCCTCTCTAAATAACTAAACTAAAAATAACTATATATTTATTTAATGATGCTATCAGTAACTCGGACTGTATAATGTAAAATCATTAGACACTGGTGAATAATGAACAGATGTGGGAGGAAGTGGTCATGATCTAATTCAGTAATTTTTGCACAATTTGCATGGGGGAACTGAGAATAATTATGAAAAATCTCGGTCAGCATAGTTGGTACTCCAGCCAAGATCTGAACTGGGTACCTCCTTCACACAAGTCACAAATGTCATGTTGAATACAGGGTTCTGTTACCAGTTTGTCAGACTTGTTTAAATCAATTTAATCCCACTGCGTTTATCCTAATATCTGACTGATTGTCTGAGTCATTCTTGACATATAACAACATATTTCATTCATTCATTCATCAGTAATCTGTCAGAGGACAGGTCCACAGTCTCTTCCAAAACAGTTCCTCCACTTAATGCGATCTAGAGCTTTCTCCTTCAAATAAAAATAAAAATGTCCTCTTCTGTCCCCAAGGTCATCCAGAATCTTCTTACGTCTTCTTCCTCGTCTTCTGGTTTGTATACATGGTGTCTCTGTTTTTGGAAAGAGACTATCCAGGAAACATGATAAGGTGGTAGTTTTTCCATTTGCTTTCCACATCGCAGTACAACAGCCGTTCAAACCACTCTGGTCACGCCTGTTGCTATACGAACTTGAACCATCTCGAGCATCATTTGCTCTGTGCTTCAAGTCGCTGCTGATGACGCTGCTTCGGGCATAAGTTTTTGGTTTTTGGTGTCTCTCTTCGTCTGATGCCTACCCTTTGACCTGTCCAGCAAGGGAGGCCCTGCCAGTAGCTACGGTACCGCTGGTATAGCTCTCAGGGTCCTTGGCATACTCAAACCCCCTCACCACGATAAGGTGGAGACACCAACGAGGGGACGTATATCATATAATAATATATACACGTATATTTAACATCTTTTATTTCCATAGGTTATATTGTTATGGTTGATGGGGTGGCTGTGAGTATGATTTTGATTTGGAAATGATGGGGAAGGAATTGATAAGTAGTTGAAATTTATGACTTGTGATTTCAATTAAAAATATGATATAACCGTACGTCCCTCGCCAAAATTATTTTAATTAAGGGAATGAAAAACTTGTGCGTTTTTTCACACCATGAGAGACGCTCCTCTGGCGAGATACCATCCCGGCACCGTCTAGTTGTAATTCAGGTATTGTCCTCCTTAGGCTTAGGGTGTCATTATTGTCCCTGACCTCGCCTGTTTGCTCCTAGTGTCATAAACCCATGAACTGACCGTCCAGGAGGAATCTTGGGTTCCCTGCTCGTGTGCCTTGAAGACCTACAGAGGTTTATGGGCATCTCGAAAACTACGAATGTAGGACAGATGTCGGGCTCGACCCTTCGCTTTCTCATGTAATTTTTCTTGTTTTGTTTTATGCTCGCTGGGGAACTTGTAAAGAGAGGGCAGTCGGTTATAGGGAGCGGAGGAGGACGGTTGTTGAAATGTAAACAGGGAACAGAGAAGTGTTTTACAGTAGCGGTAGCGAGTAGGATGGACGGAGCGGCTAGCTTGGAGGACAGTGTAAATATTGATCATCGAATGAAATTTTAAATTAAAACTGCAGTACACGGTGTGTTCTGGAGATCCCTGATTTATTAACCCCGAAATGTGTTCCACTCCCATTTCCGAAGCACCCGTATCCTGAGATAAAGAACTCAAGCTCGAGCGACAGTCGTGGCAGATGTACGTCGGCGGGCGGATAAAATAAATATTTAAATGTATTGAGGTCTGAAGGATTTGAGGTTCTCACAGCAGTCGTTTTGAAGAGTTCTGTCTCCTGGGATATCGCGCTGTGTAGTATGTTGAAAGTCAGCCTACATTTCAGAAGAAAAAAAAATGTCGATGCCTCCTTCAGGCTCGAAGAATAAGCCAGACAAGAAACCCACATGAAGCGGGTAGCAAACAGCATGAAGCAGGTAGTTCTGTGTGCTACCTGAGTCATATTCATTTCTTGCTTGGCTTATTTTTCGATCATGAAGATGGAGAACTCATTTTCAGGCCTCTTAATATACTACACTGATATATTGGGTTTTTGGACTTTATCCATCGTCCTGGTTTTTAAGATAACTAATAAAAACACGACGTTTCGGAAACTGGATCTGTTTCCGTCCTCAGGTGAAGGAAAACACCTATTCTGTGATCCAGTGATTGAGGCTAGCTCTTTCTAACGGACCCAACAGAATAGGTGTTTTCCTTCACCTGAGGACGGAAACAGATCCAGTTTCCGAAACGTCGTGTTTTTATTAGTTATCTTAAAAACCAGGACGATGGATAAAGTCCAAAAACCCAATATATCAGTGTGTTATACACCATCGTCAGAATCCTATAGTAACTACNGAACTTCCCACCCCATCTTTGCAATTGCTTCCAATGTGAGGCGAGCGGCGTGGGGGCGAGCGTTGTCATGCAGGATGATGATATTTCGTCCCGGACGTTTATCGCGCAATGCACGACGGAGCTTGTGTAGCGTCTGGACATAACGAGCAGCATTGATGGTTTGCCCACGTTTCAGGAATTCGGCCAGAATAAACCCCTCTGCATCCCAGAAGACTGTGCCCATCACCTTCGCAGCTGATGGCACTGTCTTTGCCTTCTTTTTTGATGGAGAATGCAAATGGTGCCATTCCATACTCTGCCGTTTCGTTTCAGGCTCGAAATTGTGAAACCAGCTTTCGTCACTGTAACAATACAGAGCAAAAAATCATCTTCGAACACTGCTCGCACCCATGCACACACTTCCATAAGCACGCTGAAGTCTCTGGTGAATTTCTGCAGCAGGAATTTCCTCTTTCACAAGAAATTCGATGACAGCACGCTGGCGAAACGACATATCGTTGTCGGCCATTTTGTTAGGAGTGATACTGGTCACGTGATGCAAGCTATTGACGTCACAAGACACTCAAGGTTAACACAACAGCTGGGTCCACCTACCACCATACTCTCTTTGGTCTGCTGTTCCCAGGTTTCATGCAAAAAAAAAAGTTGCTCATGACTTTCGGTACGACCTACGTATAAGCATGTTTAGCTTTACATCCCTAGAGATATGACACAATGACTGACCGCCTAGTAAGACAAAAGTTTTTCATTACTGCTGTCGTGTAGACCTCACAAGCACGAGATGTCCTCGCGGAGTGACCAGGCGCACACCCGCATTCCGGGAACAACTCTGGTGTTTCAGAAATAGGCAAGCAAGCCTGGAGGCACATCAGAATGCGCATTTTCGAAACTGAAATGCAGTTCACAGCCAGGGAATGAGGCAAACCTTGTCAAGCACATCAATTAATTGCAGTCTTTAAACTACCGTCTGTGTTTCTTGTTTCTTCGTCTGGAGACATTTTCAACTGCATAAGCTATATTGACCTAATTGTGAGCAGAAATGGATGTACTGCCCTTACATTTGTCAGGAATGGCTGAAGAAAACCTCGAAACCCCTAGGACAGCCGATTCTGTGACCGAAAATCGAAGCATGAATCACCCTTACACCATATGGGTACGATGTTGAATGAAGGGGTCGTGATTCCTGTAGGGCACTATTCAAAGCATGTGCTTCGAAGGACTTAGGAAAACACGAAAGACTTCAGTAATGTTAGCCGCCTTCCCTGACGAGAATAAGGGGAAGAATACTGTCTCAGTGAGGGAGACACGTGAAAACGAGAACTAGATTTCGTGTCACTTCAGATCGTCGGTATGAAATTTCGAAACAATTTTGAAGTGGATTTCCCGGGAAGCAGTCAAGAAACGTAATCAACTCCTATCCGCGCTCCCTTCACATGTTCGAGTCGAGTTGGCCCATATTTTGGTTACAGAATTATTTCGGTTATAGTCATCCGTCGTCACTCACAAAAATAGGTGAGTAGATAATGTCCGCCACGCAGCAAGGTGACAGTTGGGTGAGTCAAGGCCGGAGCGCGGCGCCTGGCCCTTCACGTGCTTTGTTCTTGTTCACATAACTGAGGTATCGTTTAGTGGTTTTAACATTAATTTGCGAATATTTCGTATTTATATATAAGGTCATTTTAATGTTGGTGCGGAATCTTAACGTCACACCGTGTCATGTTGCGTGCGCATATTAATGCATAAAAAGTAAGTTCATTTATTCTGCATATTTGTTATGCTTTTCGTTCGTAAAATTGATTTGTAATATGAGTGACAGTTCACTGATAAATTTAACAGATAAACAGTATTTTTAGGAACGCGGTAATAAATGACAGGAATGAAAAATAAAATATTTGCATTAAAAGTAGCT